AACATGACCTGAGGCTGTTGCACCGCGTGAACAATTCGCGATCTGTGGAACTGACGGGGAAACAACCTCCATGGTCTCCATAGAGAAAAGATGGCCTGGAGACGTTGCACAACGTGAAATATTCCTGATCTGTGGAACTGACGGGGAAACAACCTTCATGATCTCCAGGGAAAAACATGACCTGAGGACGTTGCACCGCTTGAAATATTCCTGATCTGTGGAACTGACGGGGAAACAACCTCCATGATCTCTATTGGGAAAACATGGCCTGGGGATGTTGCACGGCGTCAAATATTCCCGATCTGTGGAACAGATGGGGATACAGCCTTCATGGTCTCCATGGAGAAAACATGGCCTGGCGACGTTGCACCGCTTGAAATATTCCCGATCTGTAGAACAGAAGGGGATTCAACCTCCGTGGTCACCATGGAGAAAACATGGCCTGGCGATGTTGCACCGCGTCAGATATTCCCATATGATCTGTGGAACTGACGGGGAAACAACTCCCATGGCCCCCATGGAGAAAACATGACCTGGAGTCGTTGCATCATGTGAAATATTCCTAATCTGTGGAACTGACGGATATACAACTTCCATGATCTCTATGGAGAAAACATGACCTGAGGAAGTTGCACCGCTTGAAATATTCCCGATCTGTGGAACTGACGAGAATACAACCTCTATGGTCAGAGGTGACCAGAGAAAACAAGAGCCTTGGGGAAGTAGATGCGCGGAGGACACTTATTTGAAACAAATATACCGCCCCCTCCCTAAAAGAATTCATTTATCCTTCGAACAGAAATAACTTAAATTGGTTAAATTGAATATTGTATTTTGTATGAAAATATAGTCAGGTCCCTCATTGAGGGATGGAGTAAGTTGGTCCAGCACCCCTCCCTCTTTCGAGCGTCCCTGTTCTGGGCCACTGAGCTCTGTACATGGTGTTTAATTTAATTCAAAAGAAGCCTATACGATTAAATTGAATCCAAAGAAGTTTATATCAGTTTAATTCATTTATATTTCCAATTGAGTTATTTATATTCAATTCAACCTAATTCAAATGAAATTAATAATTTTTAGCTCGTTCAGAATTATATTTATTACGTTTAATTTAATCCATTTCACATTTTGTCGCTGCAAAACGGTTCTACTATGAACTGATTGCACGTCAAAATTAAATAACTGTGTTTTATTTAAAAAAAGGTATTAAGTCCGTTGATTTCTCCCTGATACGGGCTATTGTACTAGGCCAAATCTTAGCCGAAATTACCAAATGAAAAGGGGATGATGTATCTGTCGTGGTTCTACCATGAGGAGAATCACTAATAACGAACTGATGCGGGATAGAATAAACAAATCAAATAGAAGGCTTCAGCAGAAAATGTCACTTTTATGGATGTATTTATTATCTTTTTTAATAAAAGTAATCGAGACAAAATTTGAAAATAGAGAATGTACGAAAAGAGAATTTTCGAACTGAGAAAAGTCTTCTGAAATAATAAAAATAAAAAGTATTCGTTCGAGACGGGAATACTTCACAGTGTGCAACGCTGAATTTTGAAGTGGCCTTGGCCCAAATGGTAGATTTAGAATAATGCTTAGCGGAAGTGTTTCTATTTTACGAGTTAAACGTCGTGAGATTCCGATAAGTCTAATCAATAGGCAGAAACATTGACCTACATAAAGCCCATTAAAATGTCATAACTAAAAAACGCCGCTTTCCAGAATATAAATTTGAAGATTATACAAGATTGTATTATTAGAAATAGTTTGAGGAAATTGCAGTCATTCATTTTCATACACTTGCGAATTATGTGACTTTCCAGTGGAGAAAAATTTAAAAGATGTTTCATCGAACACGATCGAAATCAATGATTATTTTTGTTTGCATTGAACTGTATTGCATTGAATGAATTGGAGATGTAAAAAAAATGGAAAAGTATTTTTCGACCATCATTGATTGTGAAATTTGGGTAATCATCATGTTCCTTTGATTTTAAGCAAGCTTTTGCATTAAAAAAGATGAAGTAGGGTCCTGTAACTGTTCTTTCCCTTTTTTAAAAGAATTGTCACGCGCACCTAATTGCTCCTTCATTTATTGGCAACTTTCAAACTTTCTCTTGAATATAACGCCTATTGAAAACACTGGATTCAGAGTTATTCGGAAAGCTGTTGTACTTGTTTCTTGTAATTAATGCATACTGTATTAATGCATACTGTACCATTTTATTATTACATATTTAAAACATTTTATCACAATTTCCCTTTTCCCGTATATTACACTGTACACACCCCAAGGTTTCTCTCGATTTCTATTTCCCTGTTTCATTTATCACTGACACACTTTATACAATGTGTTGACTTCATGTTCACTCCATTTCTAAAGAGTCATTCATTCAACTTTAAAATGTAACATTAATAAAAGATTGAAACCTCCCATTCAGAGGAAATGATTTTTTTAAAAAATCAACATTTCTAATATTCATTTTCACCTTGACACAACATATTACATTTTTCAAACAAAAACTGTAAACACAAACAAACTCAAAAACATTTCTTTCTTCATAACTAACACACACTCGATATTTCAAATGAGTCTATTGTAAATACCTTGACTTAGTCGAGTTCCTTCCCAACGAACACGGATAATACTCAATACATCCGTAGCAACTCATACACATCCTGCTATGTATTACTTTGACTATTATTAAACCATTTTTTGTCATTATAATTGACTACTATCAAGGACATTTCAATGTCCTTAAACTTTCTTACCAAATATGTTAAACACTTATTACTGGAAACATTGTTTCAGTCGTTAATACTTGATTGCTTTGAAATCACTCAATGACTACTTCAAAAACATCGATTTACTCCTCATACATTTATTAAGTAGAGAATATCTTGTTTTCACTACACTCAATACCAATTGTATTCTGTTCTTCATGGATTTTGCATATCATCACGTTTTTATTGTACCAAAGCCTGGATACTTGATTAATGAAACTTACGTTTTGAGCTTCAGATAGAGAATGTGAAAAGAATTGTAAGAGTTGTTTGATTTCATATTGAAAAGCAGTCACATACTTCTTGGAAATTTAAAAACAAATCTCTTCCAGGTAACCCTATTTTGTAAATGAATTTTTAATAATACTTAACAGTAGTAAACGGATTCCCAGATCATTTACTGAAAGGAAAATACATTGACAGTTTCTTCTTTGAAGATATCTGTAATGAAATACAGTAAGTCGTGATATTATATCGATCAAACACTATTAGTGCTCCTCCTGGAGTCTGTTATATGAAATATTTCCAACTTTTCGTAGTGAGAGGAGTAAGTCATCTGCGTATCGAAAAACTCAATACTAGTCCTTTTTTCAAAAATTGTGAAATCGTAAACACAAAATTTACGTCTTTGCAGTACGGAAAAAAGTTACTCTTATTTCTGCATCAAGCATCGTCCGTATCATAACTTCTGCGAGTTAGTGTCTTGTCTAAGTTTATTGCTACTCGAGAAAGTGGAACTTTCTTTAGAGACACCCTGTAGTATTCGTCTTTACCGCAGCAGGCGGTGGCGGCGGGGCTAGTGCCGCTCGCAACTTCTCCCAAAACTGCCTTTGTTTCCTGGGCTCCGGATCCCAATCCAGGTACACCCTGGTTCGCAACAAGTGCTTCAGCGTCGGCGTCATGTGAGACGCGGCAACGTCGCCCAGCTTCACCATCACGAGCGGGTCTTGGTTCCTGATTGCACCGCAGCCGGCGCCACTGTCGTCGTCGTCAAAAAATAAACTGTAATGTTCCGCTAATCTCAGCTCCCACATGCACCACTGGGACCGCGCGAATGCATCGCTGATAACTAGTAGAGTTCGTCTGCTGCAGGCGACGCTTTCGAGGACAGCTTCGGAAATCACCGTCCCGATTTGAAAGTCCCGCTCGTAGACGCACAGTTTGAGGTGAGGCTCGTAGTTTTCCAACATGGCCACCAACCGCACGACGAAGTTCCGATCTTCGCTGCTGTACGACACGAAAGCGTCGTATTGATAGTTCGTGTAACCCTTGCAGAAACGTCTTCTCCGTTCTTTTTGCAGCGTGATGCCTCTCCTTCTGAGATCACGTCGAGCGAGGAACATCCAGTATCGAATGTGCGATCGATACTTGTACGCCATGGCTCCACACACAGATCCGAGCACCATCAGCATCCCGAGGACCACGCCTACTATAATGTAAGCTCGCGTGCCTTCTATCGCCCAAATCGGGCACTCCCCGTCGAACTCCGACAGCTGGATAAAATCCGTGATGAATTTGTTTCTCCAACTGTCCGGCGTATAACATAGAGGGGCTCTTCCTGGAGAAAATATTCTCTCGAGGGACAGGTTGTTTCTGCTGAGCCACTCCTTCCCGTGATAGAACGGCTCACACTCGCAGCTGAACGGGTTGTCGTAGATATCGAGGTGACCGAGCTTGGAGAAGTCTTCCAACATGACTGGGCTGAGGTACGTGAGTTTGTTGTCGGCGAGAAAGACGATGGAGAGGTTGGGATTGCCGGAGAAGAGTTCCTCTTCAATCCACGGTTCCATGCGATTGTGTGATAGGTCAAGTCCTCGTAGTCCTGTAAGCGGTGAGAGGACGTCGCGAGACACACTGGATATGTAGTTGTTCTCTAGCATCAAATACTGTAACGAACCTAGCGCCGAAAAGACATCGGGGTCACTGAAGTTCGTGATTCCGCATTCGGCGAGAAGCAGCACTTCCAAACTCTCCAGTCCTTCGAAAGTTCCAGCAGTGAGTCCGGAATATTCCGGAAACGGGTTCTTTTCCAGGTTCAAGAACGTCAGGTTCCCGAGTTCTTTGAAAGACCCTGGGTGGATCTCGACGATGGAGGAGTTTTGAAGGCACAGCACCTCACGCAGGCCTGCCAACCCCTTGAAGGTGCGCGGAGTGATGGTGTTGATGTTGTTGAAGGAGATGTTGAGGTAGATGAGGTTGCTCATGTTGACGAACCGGCCTTCGCCGAGGTCGAACACCACGGACCGTCGGTTGCGATCTAGTGAATTCAGCGACAGATCCAAGGTAGCCACCTGAAACATGCACAAATCATGTTAGTTCTCTGAATGGACCAAATCAAAACTTTTATTTGCAGTTTAGATGAATAAATCAGATCTACAACAAAAAAATCATTTATATTTAAAATGTAAAATATCATTGCATCCGAAGCAATGATATCCAACGATAATGATTTATTTTACCTATTACATGGCCCATGAACGACAATTAGCTTCCTAATTCAGGCTATTTAAACTCTCTAAGGGTTGCCTTGAAGTTGGATTTCCAACAACTATTTTGTACGTGTGTGTTTCTGTTTTTGTTTTAAAATAGTTTGACAAAACCTATAGATAAAGTGAGTATTTAAAAATATTTTAGAATTATAATATAATTTTACAGAATTGTTGGATTTTCAGTAAAAATTTGAGCAAAATCAGATGTAAGAAAAAATAGTGTTTTTGAAAGTTTAAGGTTTTGATTATACATGAAGCTGACATTTCAACTCCAGAAAACTAGTTACAAGAATCTCTCAAGAGTTACCTCCAAAACGTCAAGTTTCAATATAAGTATTCCAGTGATATTCAAAAGAGAATATTTTTAGAGCTATAATTTTTCGACTCTCAAATAATACTGTAATATTATCTACGTCTGAAGCACACCCAATTTCTATGAGCACAAGAGAAGAGTAAAATAATATGAGGAGAGGAGAAAGAGTATGAGAGTATGAGTAAGAGAGTATGACAAGAGGGGAAGAGAAGAGAGGACATGAGGAAATGAGAAGAGAGAGAAGAGAAGAAGAGAAGAGTGTATGAGGAGAGAAGAAGAGAAGAGAGTATGAAAAGAAAAGAAGAGAAGAGAGTATGAGGAGAGAAGAAGAAGAGAAGAGAGTATAAGGAGAGAAGAAGAGTATGAGAAGAGAAGAAGAAGAGAAGTGAGTATGAGGAGATAAGAAGAAGAGAAGTGAGTATGAGGAGATAAGAAGAAGAGAAGAGTGTGAGGAGAGAAGAAGAGATGAGATTGTGAGGAGAGAAGAAGAGATGAGAGTGTGAGGAGAGAAGAAGAGATGAGAGTGTGAGGAGAGAAGAAGAGATGAGAGTGTGAGGGGAGAAGAAGAAGAAAAGAGACTATGAGGTGAAGAGAAGAGATAGTATGAAGAGAGGTGGAGAAGAGATAGAGTGAAGAGAGGTGGAGAAGAGATAGTATGAAGGGAGGTGGAGAAGAGAGAGAATGAGGAGAGAAGAAGAGAAGAGAGACAAGTACAGAGCAGGAGCAGTTGAGATGGGCAGGCGCGTGCTAAGAGGGGCCGACCTGCGGCGGGAGCACGCCGGGCAGCACGCCGGTGAGCTGGTTGCCGGCCAGCACGAGCGAGCGCAGCGCGGGCAGGCGGTCGGCGGCCAGCGCGCCCTCCTCCACCGCCACCACCAGGCACTCGCTCAGGTCGAGGTGGCGCAGGCGCGGCATGCGCGGGAACGCGCCCGCCGCCACCACCGGGAACTGGTTGCGCGCCAGCACCAGCGACGCCACGCCCGCCGCCCCCGCCGCCTCCAACACGTCGCGCGGCGGCGCGCTGCGGAACCTGCGCACCGCACAATTCACTTCAGTTATGCCTTGGTTTACGATTCACACCACACTCTGATTTTCAATTCAATTCAATTCGATTCGATTCAATTTAATTCTGCCTTATTTTACTTTTTATACCACACACTGCTTTTCAATTCAATTCAGTTATGCCTTATTTAACATTACACATAACACACTACTTACACAACTTCATTATTCAATTATGCCTCTTTTATGTTTCAAACAACACATTCCTTTTCAATTCAATTCGATTCAATCCAATTACGACTTATTTTACGTTTCACATCCCACACTGTTTTTCAATTCGGTTCAATTATACCTTATTTGGCATTACACACAACTTAACAATTAAATTCGATTCAATTCAATTATACTTTATTTTACGTTTTACACAACGCAATGCTTTTCAATTCAATTTACTTATAGCTTATTTTACGTTACACACAACACACTACTTTACAATTAATTTCGATTCAACTCAATTCTGCTGTATTTTACGTTACACACAACGTACTGCTTTTCAATTCAATTATGTCTTATGTTATATTACACACAACACACTGCTGTATAATTCAATTCAACTAAATTAAAACAACACACAATTTTACATGGCAAGACTCTGACCATAGAAGATGATGATGCCGTTATCAAAAAAAACGAGACAATTGGTAACATGCTGTTTTCTCGCTATTGGCTACTAATAAAACAAATAACACATAGTCATCCCAGCAACTAAAGTTTTATTGTTAGATAGGACCTGGGTTCAAGTTCTGACGAGGGCAAAATTTTGGAAAACCGCTAAGGAGGTGGGCGAGACAGAAACTTGCCTGGGCGAGAATTCTAGACGCCGGCTGCTCTTGTCCGACATTTCCGTAATAATCTCTCTCAAATTGAGGCGAATGTCAGGATACTACTAGGCGTAACGGGCCACACTTCACACCCAGTCCGTACCTTCTCATTCTGTCCTCACATTAATCCATTCAATTCAATGATGCCTTATTTTACGTGGCGAGACTCAGGCCATGAGGCCTTCTCTTCCGTCTCACTACGCCCTGAAGAGGACCGCGATATGTCGGTCGAAACGTCGGCACCTCAGCCTTCGACGCGGCGTCACCCGGACGCGCTCGGACACGCCCAGATAATATCTCTGATCACGGAAGCCTATGATATCATTTACATGCACTACGCTACCACACATGCCGGGAGCTAAGAATGTGTCCCGCTGGTGGGATATATATATATATATATATATATATATATATATATATATATATATATGGATGGGGAAAATCCCACAAGCCATCGTGACGCATCTCACCATCCAGCGGTAAGAAGAAACCACGACCTATTATAACAAAAACATGCCCTACCTTATCACCTCCTACTAGATGGCAATTCACAGGGTAAGATACGTCATCATAAAAAAACGATGTCACTACGCGACCCGGGAACTTACCGGAAATTTCCAATGCCGCGTGAAAACCCACACTTCTAGTCTTTCCTTGGCCTCTCATCGACATTAGACTGATATTTCTTTTCTAGATTAGTGAGGGATGGTCCATTCGAGCATGGAAGATTATCACCCTTCTCTCCCTGAGGATAGGGAACGGAGAATTTTGCGCTGTCTGTGGCCCGTATTCTTCGATGCTACGAGTACTTCGGTATGTGAATCACGGAAAGCCCATAAACCACTGGCCAGTGTGGTGGAGAAGTGGTACAAACTCAAGATGCTAATCGTCTCACGGAAATTGCCAGCACCTGACGGTAATCGATCTCGCGACCTCATCAGCAGAACGCTAAAATCGTAAGGCGTTTCCTTAAGGCTCGTCTCCGCCGATGTTGATCCTTGCGTAATTCTGTACTGTTATATCGTCATAACGCAACTAAACGCAGGAACAGAAAGCAATAATCACTCTTTCAGGTAAAACTAAAGTTCATGATTCCTGGCTGTTAGGAAGACATTTTTAATAAACGAGGCGTGAAGGAGATTTTCTGAAAAACGAGGAGGAAGTACAGGAAAATAATTATAGCATGAAATGACGCTCAAAGATCCATAATCGTCGAAAGATTCTTAATTGAGATTCATGAACTGCTGCTATAAGAAACATTAGTACGACCCATCTTAAAAGCATACGCCTCAACCGACATTTCTCATTTACAAGTCAACATTATTTACTGGGACTGTCTTTTGCACTTCTCACAGTGTACGTCTAGTCTAACAAGTTCCTCTGTTTTCAAGCCTTTTAATCTATTTTCGTTGATCGCAGCAAATCCTGGGAAGTTTCACAGGACTCTTTGTGGCGGGTTTTGCAACTTGTTTCTTGACGTGATTGTTAAAGCCTCACCGGGACGAATGATGGTTTCTATCGACTAATGGAATCTTCCACGATATTCATACTCCATGATATAGAGTACATTTTCTGCTCTATGTGTTAATCAAATAAAACGGGAGGGTTTTACTGGAAAGGCCAATTTATTATATTTACTTGACAAAAATATAACTTTACAATTTTAAATATTTTAAGCATGTGAAACAGAGAAGGAGTGAGGGTTAAGAAGAAGTAGGGAGAGAAGAAGAGTCGGTCCGGGTCGCCGAGATCGTTAAGGCAGTTGTGCTGTAGCGATCTCGGACCAAAGGATCGCGGTTCGAGTCCCGCCTCGGGCATTGTTGTATTGTTCGTCCTTTCACCCCCTATCATCATCATATCGTGTCATCCTCACAGTTACCATACCGTTACACGCATTAGTGGTCGCTAATGACCTAAAAGTTGATGCGACCTTAAATAAGAAAACAAAGAGTAAGAGAGATTGGTTGTTTCTTTCGGGCGCAACAATTGATATGATAATTAGTTACGTGAGTGTAGTGCATATTAAAACCCGAAATGTCGCGGCGTTCGTCTCCCTTTAAATGACCGGTGGCCACCTATACGTCGGCATGCTGAGCATTTCCCTCCTCCATATATCACCTCCCGCGCAGAATCACCTAGCATGTGACAAGTTCCTAGCTCCCGAATGGTCTCACAATATGTGTGATAGGTAGACATTAACTGTATTGATAAGAGAATCCACGGAAAACTACTCAACAGAGCAGTCGTTCGCTTGAATTCTGCCCCAGGGGCTTAATTCGGCCTTCACAGTTCGTGATAAATTCTCAAGATCTTCATTTTACGAAATGCATGTCGTAATCTGTCTCCGTTGCTTTCTTCTTTGTTATCTATGTCCATCTCTCCATTTCCTTTTCTCTCATCCCTCTCCCCCTCTCACCTCTTCGTCACCCCTCCTCTCCTTCAAGAATTCTCGGCTATCCGGGAGACGCCGCGTCGTTGGCTGGGGTGCCGACGTTTCGCCTGACATGTCGCAGGCTTCCTCAGGGCAGTGACGTCACTGCTAACGTCGGCACCCCAGCCAACGACGTGGCGTCTCCCGGATAGCCGAGAATTCATGGATTCGAGCCGCGGAAGCTTACGTGTACCTCCTCTCCTTCATCTGCCTCCCCCTTTCACTATTTGTTTCTCCAGCTTTCTTCTCACGTTTCCTCTCGCACTCTCTTTTTTCTCCCTGAAGCTCTCTCTCTCCCTCCTTTGGAGACACTCTCCCCTTCATCTGTCTTGCCTAATTTCTCTCTTCCTACCTCTATCTATCTCCCACAATTCTGTCTCTGCCTTCCTCTATCTCCCCCGGGCGCATTCCGCTGTCTACTTTTACGAAGCCTTTGACTTAGCTACCCCCTCCCAATGGCATAGTCTGTATCCCTTTTCGATTTCCTTCTTAGTGTAAAGATTGAATTCTACATTTACCGTAGTTAGGTCAGGATTATATTGATCGAGTAAAATTAATCCTCTTCTGTTTATTTTCAAGAAGCATTTGCGCAGCTTTTTAGAGTACTACCAACATTGAAAACCATACTTAAAAGTTTGTGGTAACCAAAATCAAAAGCTCTTGTAACCAGCATCTTGTTGCCCGGCTGACTTAATGTACACATTTCCACAGATTCTGCCATGTTCATCTGTGTTTGAGGTTTTCTCCGTATTAATGTGAGAGTATCTATTTGCGCTACTAATAACTAAAAACAATGTATAACTCTTCTCAAACAGCGGGTGAACGAAACGAAATACAGTCGGGCTATGCCTTCTTTGATATAGAAAAGTGAAAATGGATTCGCTGGGAAGAGGGAATGAGGGAAAACTGACTGACGGATGCTGTCAGGCTGTGTCTTCTCAGATACCTGAAAGGCGATTAGCTGGGAAGCGTGGATGAGGGAAAAACTTCCCCCAAGGGGAGGGGGTCGGGCTATGCCTTCTCTGATATTGAAAAGTGGGAAGGGATTCGCTTGGAAGCGGGGATGAAGGAAAACTTGCCAAGGGATGCAGTCAAACTATGTCTTTTCAGATACGTGAAAGGTGATTAGCTCGAAAGTGTGGATGAGATTACATTGACCGCGAGATGAAGTCAGTTTATGTCCTATCGGATATCAAAAAGTGAAAAAGGATTCACTGGGAAGCGGAGATGAGTGAAAATTGACCGCGGGATGCAGTCGGGCTATGTATTTTCTGGTAACGAAAGGCGAAAAGGGATTAGCTGGGAAGCGTGGATGAGGGAAAACTGACCGCAGGATGCAGTCGGACGATCCCCATCCCCCTCCTTCCTCCCTTCCTCTCCCCTCCGTCGCCCTTTCTCCCCCGCTCTCTTCCTTCCTTTCTCTGCTTCTCCGCTGGAGGCCTGGGGGCGCGCAGGGGCGGCATGCTCACCCCATCTCGTTGAGGCCGAGGAAGTCGAGGGGCGCGCCGTCGTCGGCCATGCGCTGCACGAGGGCGGCCACCACGCTGGCGTTGAGCTGCGCGTTCTGGCCCAGGTGCAGCGCGCGCAGGCGCTGGAGCGGGCGCAGCGCCGACGCGTTCACCCACTCCAGCTGGCACAGCGCCAGGCGCAGCTCGCGCAGCGGCGACCCCTCCAGCGGCAGCAGGTCGTCCCCGCCCACGCTCTGCGCACGCACAACCACATGAACATTTCCTTCTCAATACGAGCACACGGAACAAAGTAGAAAATAAGAAGAAAAAATGAAAAAACTGAAAAAAAATTGTCAAATAATAAAAAATAATCAAAATAAAAAATAAAACATTAATTTAAAAAATAAAAATAAATTTAAAAATTAATTCATATTTTGAAAGTATGTTTAATATATAACAGTCGAACATAATATATTATATATATTATCGCATGTATGATATATTCTTAAACCTAAACTCCATTCCAAAGAAGACCAAGAAAGAATGATTACATTTTGTAAAGACATCAATTTTTATTTTGATATTTAATTTTAATTACTTTATTTTAATTGGCACCTTTGTTTTGAATTGATACTACTGCAAAATGTTTGTTAACAGTATTTTTATTGATCAATGTGTTAATAGATTGATGTTATTGATGAATCGTAACACAAATAGTCGGTAATAACCACGTAGTTGATGCGACTAAAAATGAACTAAAAATAATAAATAATAATAAAAATAAAAAATAATAATATGAAAAATATTTTTAAGATAAAAAATAAAATGTAAATAGTTAATTACACCTGACAATACGTTATTTACGAAAGGAGTATCGCACGACGTTTATTACAATCCTAGATAGGAGAATTATCAAACGAGGCCGTTACGGCGAGTCCAACAACCAATCAAGTTTTGTAAAGAGACGTTATGGTACGATAAGTAATGTGTAAAAGAATATTTTACTATTTTGATTTTTTTCTTTCCGTATTGTTCTCTATTACATAATAGCTCTGCGGTCAGAAAATTGCGTTTCAGCATTTAATTGTACATTATTTCTTTTTTGCTCTGATACATTTGGAATTCTATATTTTTTTCAGCTTTTGATCACGTCGCCACTTGTTTATCTATACATAGATCAGTATGTGTTAAATCTATATAATGGTTCGCTTAAAATTTTACCGTAGTCACGTCATTACGTTAATTAGGCCATATAGTGACGTATGAGCAACTCTTTGTACATGTTTTATGGAATTAATATAAGAGTAGTCTTTTTTGTTTCGGGATTCCTGCGAAGCTGTTTTTTATGTTCATAGCTATACATGGTTTGGATTTTTCTCTTCGCGTCCTATCTTTTTGCGTCCTAAATCCCCCCTTAATGAAAATATGGTGATATAAGTTCGTCTTATGAATGTCACATCGTGTCGTGTCCCCGTGTACGAAAGTAGCAGAACTGATTGAAAAAGATTTTTGTAAACAAATTATTGTTTATTCTTTAACAATTTACTTCGATTGCATTCATTACGATTCGCAGAAGTATAATGAGAATTTTCAGTAATGTATACGTAAGCAACATAGAGGAAAACACGGAAATTAATGAAGTGTCATTAGGCGGGGAAATACTGCAATCTTCTTTTATGACGAAAGGCGAAATAATACAGCACTGCATCGTGATTGATCGAAAATAGTATTTATAATATGAAGGTCAAGTGAACCAAAGGTGAAGTTGTAGAACTGTAGTAGTTTGCGTAAGTCATTGTTTTAATTAAGAGAATGGAAGCAAGTCTCGAGGTCATTAAAATTGGATGATTATAGGGAGATTTCAGAAGTCCAATAAGAACATGATATACACAGATTAGTATCAAAATGTTAAATCACGATTGGTAATACTAGAACAAAGTATATGATTAATTGTGATGCATATCTACATGGCCAGGATTTTCCGGGATGTCCAGGATAACAATGTCGACGTTCACAAATATTACGTGGTAGACTGTGGTATAGTATACTCAGACAGTGGAAATAAATTGTAGATTGAGTGTTTGGAATTCAGTAATACAAGTGTGTTCATTTCGAGTTTCAGTGGTAAATTTAGTAAACCATCATAACATTTTCCGCATTTGAAAACTAGGTATTATTCGAATAAAGATACTGTATTAAAATGTGCTTTTCGTTCCTGTAAAAACAACGTTAATATGAAGAATATTGTAAGGAGACTATGGCTAATTTTTAGCACGTCGTGGAAATCTTGAGTCGAAGAAGTTTGAAAACACGGGAATAG